ACAACTTTTTGCAGGGAAAACATTTCTACAATCAGCAGGATACAGAAAATGCTTTCCAAGAGTTCACTGAATCCTGAAGCATGAATTTTTATGCTACAGGAATAAACAAACTTATTTCTCGTTGACAAAAATGCATTGATTGTAATGGTTCCTATTTTGATTAATAAAGATGACTTTGAGCCTAGTTATAATGATTTAAAATTTAGCCTGAAACCGCAATTACTTTTGCAACAACCTAATAGTAACTACTTCACAAACACACACAGAAAAAGATTAAAAGAGATGACACATGTCCATCATTTATAAATGTCCAACATTTACTGTACCTGACATTCAGTAAGCATTAAATAAAAGGTAGTAACTACTATAACTATTATTTTCTAAATAAGTCTTTGTAAAGTTAATAAATGTAGGCATGCCTACTGCTTTATACAATGAAATTCAGAGGTAAAGTACTAAAAGATGGGGTGTATCCTTTGATTTGAAGGACCCTTTGGGGTCCTAAAAGGATTAAACACTAAATTTTTCTCTCAATGTAAGATGTAATATTCCCTTTAAAAAAAAAGTGTCCCAATAGGGTAGCAACTGTCAAAAACTTAACAGATTTCAAGAGTTTCTCCAAGGTTTGTTCTTACTTTAGATCCTCCTTGAAAGGTCCATGTTCATACTCTCCTCTGTCTTCATGACCTTTGAATGCTACCTGAAATTTTATTATACATTTGTTTATGTTTTGTTGCCTGCCTCTATTGCTATAAGTTCAGGAGAGCAGGTACCTTGTCTGCCATTTTTATTGCAGTATGCCTGGTGCCAGGACAGGACCACACATAGCAAGCACTCGATAAACATTTATTCAATGAATGAATAACGAATCTTCTCTAAGTATTAATTATTGGGAAATCAATTTCAGAGCATACTTTATACTTCTATTTATTTACCTGCTAATCTATTTGTCAAATTTTCTTTCAAACAGAAAGCTCTGCATAGTATTTAGGTGGGAAGAAACTTTCAAGAGCANAAAGAACTATAACAAATTAGCAACTTGGGACAACCACAGAAAATCAGTCCACCTGGTCGAGATGGATTATATATTGCTGTCAATTCAGAGGACAGTGATTCTGGATGAGTCTGACAAATAAAAATGATAATGTAACTGGCTAAATACATATTGCTTTATTATTATTGAAGCCATCAAAGCAGAGTTTTCCCAACTTTTGAGTCAACACACGCCGGTATTCCATCAACCCATTACAGATGCGCCTAAGATTAACCCCCTGGGAGAATCTGGGGTGCCCAGTAGACTTCCACATCCAGCGACTCGGTCAGATTATCCCAGGACACTACAGAAATGGGGTAATTATCTATTTGTACCAGACCTGATCTAAGCTATACTCATCAAACAATATAACTGATTTGTAAAGGACATAAATAACACAGTAATATGGAGAAGTCTAGAGTTTTTTGCTTCCCTTTCCCTAAAGAAAATTTTCATTATTCCTGTCTTTCACTGGTTTGAATTTCTCTAGTTTAATTAGGTTATGACTCTCAAAACAATAACCAAAGCTACTTTTGGGGAGAGGAGCAATGCCAAATGAGCCCACTGACATAAATAGCGACCAATTAACATTTGCACAAGCATAAACAAAATTTTTACAAACTCTCAAAGATTCACGACAGTTTCTCCACAGTAAATATACCAAACGTCAATCATTTGTAAAAATGAGGACTCAATTTGCACATTAATGAATGTTTACCTCAGTCCAAATTCAATTTTTGAAATTATTTATTCTAGCATAAGTTGTAAAATCTTGGAAGGAAAATTATCTCAATGGTGTATCAAATATGTAAAAATAATAATTACTTACAACATCAGATTTTCCTGTACTCCGCTGTGCATCATAAGGATTGTCTGCATAACCCTGCTGTAAGAGGGCTTTCCTATCCAGAGTTGTCAGGTCCTCCATGATTGCTTCTTCCTCTTGTGCACACTATGCGTGAAAGCAATAAAGGAACTCTCATACACATACTTAAAATATTTGTTTTTAACAAAATAAAGGATTAAATAACCACTGGACACAACTGTGGTTATTTGCATGGGGGTCAGCACTACAGGCTCTGACAATCAGGTTTCCTGTTTGAATCCAGCTCTTCCAGTTTCCAGCTAGATGACCTCTCTGTGCCTTGGTTTACTCATGGAAATGAGAATCAGTAATATTAGGTTGGTGCAAATGTAATTGTG